GAAGAACTTCTTTAAGAATTTGATAATTTTGTACATTTTATATTAAATTAATAAATTAATTTTTATATGATGTTCTAATACAATGTTGTTTTACAACTCGGTATACTTTAAAATAGTACATATTTAAAAACAGAATAACATGAATTTATGCACGCTAAAATATATCGATTAGTGCGATTTTTTTATTATTAACTTTTAAACGATACGCTTAAAATATATAAAATATTCGACAGTTTTGTGGAAAAATTAAATAGAAATAAATATTTTCTTCCCTGAAGCTCAATATACTCTAAAATTGTTGTTGTTGATCTTTATCATCTTTAATTTTGTCGTGACAATTACTTTAGTCTGCATTTAACCATACATTTATTTATTATATCTTTTGTAATTTTTGATTAATTGGTTTTTCTTAGGTAAATGTAATGATTGGCTAATTTGTATGAAATTAAATTAATGTCAATAATGAACCCTACAGCAACCTAATGTGCTCTAAAGTTGCGTTCGAAAATAAATAGTATAAGCAAGAAGTATTATTTATGTGCATTTTTTATTGGAATCTTTTGATTAATGTGATAATGTGAATGATGTATTTGAAATATTAGAGAAAACTGAATAATTTATAAGATCTTTTAAATTACATAATGCGCTACGGCAACTTGGTTTGCGAAAAAAGAAAACTTTATGGTAGGTATAATACATAGAATGAAATTACTAATTAAAAAATGAGTAATTTTGTACAGTAAAAATGCTAAAAAAAATTATATATTATGATTTAAGTACTATGTTAGAAAATTGTTAAAATTATTTATCCAATCTATTTTTATAACAATTATAACTACTTGGTATCGGTATTTTGCCTTGAGGCAAGTTACATGAACTTCCCGATATGTGTAAATCAACTTAATAAATAAAAATAAATGAATTTATGAGTGATTAAAATTTTATTTATTCCGAGTGGATTTATTACACATAATTGGAAACGAACGAACACGTTAACTCGGGGTATTTTCTGAAAGCACATTTTCAAAAATCAATTATTTTTATAATTGAACCAGTTTCCGTAGGACTTTAATGGTTAAGTATGTTCATTAAGACCAATTATCTTATCGTTATACCAAGTAAATCGTCTAATTTTAATTTTAACAAACGTCAAAAAAGGCTACTGATTTTCTCAAAATTTGATGAATTTTTAAAATTAAACTACTTGTCGTAGGGCCGTAATATTTCAGTAAGTTTTAAAAGACCATGATATATATCGCCAAAAAAAGTTCAATAAAAATGATATATTGTAAATGATATAAGTACGTGTTAAAGTATAAAATTTTTATTTGATTGTGTATTTAATTCTGAATAAATAAATTGAATCGTAGTTTCTATAAAGATTTTAATCATTCACATTCAAAATAAACAACTTTTCTCGTTCGCCATATTCATCTGTGCGTAGAATTGAAAAAAAAAATGCATTTAATTTGCAAATGTTAACGTGATTTTTATTCACGCAATTATAAAAAGAATAGATTAAATTATTTTATACACATACACATTTTTTATTAAATTGCTTGTTTTTATTTCATTTGCAGTAGAAATTTTTTTATCGCTGAGTTTCCAGTACGATTATAAAGTCGGTACTTTATTTTGCTGTGGTGTTATATAATACCACACAATATTATATATTATTTAATTTTGTGCAAACTTTTAAAATACTTTATTTACCTTAAATATAGTTTTAAAAATTATAGCTGATTTTTTATTGCGATAAATAAAAACATTAGAGATGTTTTACGCTCTGATTTTAATTTTAAAGTACACCGACATGCCCTTGAGTTTTGTTGTTAGTAAAAGTTATGGATAAATTAATTATAAATAAAATACGTCATGCAATTTATTTACATTAACCGAACACTTTAAGATATAAAAACTGTTTCCATAATAAATGCACATTTAGCACGTGTGTGCTAATTTTTTATTTTTAATTGTAGTTTTAAGATATACTGAGTTGCTAATAAAATAAATAATTTCTTTTGAAACAATGTTTCCAAATATTTTATATTCCTTAAACTCATTGTTTAAATAATACAATTTATGTGAAAAATACATACACGAATGAAATGAATATTTTTACCGTACGATTTTAAAATATAACGCTTTTAGAAGAAAATTCTTCAAAATATTTCATTTGACAATTTTTCATATAAATTAATACTATCGGTAAATGATTGAATGCACAATTTACTGTGAATAAAATTCTGAATAATAATAATATATTTTTAAATATAATAAACTATTGTAACGTACCATGCTATTTTGATAGACACTAATACAAATTACTTAATTTTAAACATATTTGACAAATATTTCAATAAGAGAAAAAATATAAAAAATAAATGCAAAAAAGCAATAATATGAGAACATAAAAAAATTGTCTGGTTCAAAATCCGATTTTAAAGTATACAGGCTTGCTTTAGGATCGAACAACATTAGATAATTGTATATTATTTAATTTGTCAAATATTTGATTAAAATTATAGAAATGAAATATTTATAAAATATACGCACAGCTACAAATAAATTTATGAAAGATCTATAAATACCATCGGTGTGATCTATGATTTATTACGATTTTAAACACCGAGATGCTGCAATATTAATTATAATCATACATTATCCTACATTTAGGATAATATAATTATAATTAATATTGCAGATTATTTAATTTCGTATAAATTTGTCAAATATTTTACTAAAACTAGACGCGGTGTTTATGAGAGTTATATTGAACAAATGTACCAAACAAATAATTTTAAAAATAATTTAGCAACAAATAAATAAATGGGTAGATATTATGATAATATTAATAAACTTACATATTCCACTTTTTTCCACAATTGATTTTTTCAAACACTTTTAAACACTTTTTCAACAACCGACAGACGGGCAGACAAACAGACAGGTCTATTAACAAACGGTATTTCTGCACTGTCGACATACAACTTTGCCTTAAACCTGACCCGATGAGAACTCACACTAATATAAATATAAATATAAATATAAATGTATATATTTATATATGTGTCTGTGTTTTTTTTTTACTCAAAACGAGTATTTCTCGGTCTAGAGGTCCAAACGACTCCCGAGGTCCCTTGTGAATGAACTCTATCGCCGACATGCAAGGTTCTTTGTATTCTTGCAAAGAACCTGATGGAAAAGTAGGAGAGTCGGCGGGGTTTGAGTGTGCTAAGTGGAGTAGGTAGATGGTGGAAATTAATTAATCTACAATATTTGACAATGTTCAAAGACCCTACAGCTATTCACTGCACTTCAAAACATACTATTGATTTAGGTGCATTTGCTTTTTTATATTGTTTACAATTCTTAAAACAACCCATTAACATTTTTTTAATAACATTTTCGAATATACCAATAAGATATTGTAGGTTTAATACGTACAACATGAATAGGTAATAATGTAGATTATTTAAATTCATTTAACAGTTGCTATAGTGTCTTACAATATTATAAATCATTTAGTTTAATTTAATTAATCGCTGTAGGGTCTTTCAACATTAGGAAACATTGTAGATTTGGAATTTGTACAAAATTGAATTATTTGCAATATTGACTAATATTGTGATGCCCTCCTCCATAATATTACCCTAGAAAATAAATACGAAGTAAATTCATTCACAACTCATTAGTTCATCATTTTATTATATCTGTTGCAATTTACAAAAACTGTTGATTATTATTGATGGTGGGTTTAAGAAGTTTATGAAAAAATAAATAATCTATAATATTGTTTAATATTGTAAGACACTACAGCAACTGTTAAATAAATTTAAATAATCTACACCATTGCCTATTAACGACGTTTGTATTGAACCTATACAATATCTTGGTATACTCAAAAATGTTATTAAAAAAACAGGTCGACTAAAACAAATTCCCATCATTGTGCATTATTTAATGTAGTAAAGTTTGAAACATTTTAACACTTTGACTGATTTTTTTGGCGAATTATCTACGACATAGCTAACCCTTAGCAAAGCATACTTTAAAATTAAGCAATTTTAAAACCAATTTTCTCTCAGCGCTTCTACTACAGATCAGTGTTTTAATAGCGGACATTTGAACAGAGATGAGAGAAAGAGTTTATCTAATACATAATGGACTTATGTGAAAAAAACGACGAAAAATGCAAATATATATAAATATATAAATGTATACATAAATTATAAACTCAACAGTTAGTTTTCTTATGTTGTTTTCAGATCTATACAACTCATGTTGCTGAATTCTAGTAAACCTTATTACATTGCTGAATTTTACGTTGCTGAATACTATTATGTTTTAGAATTCTAGTGAATCTTAAATTACGTTTGAACTTTCTTGATCTTTGAAGTATTTTACAATTTCACACTTAATGTTTTAATAATTCTAATGAATTCTATGGTAACTCAGTGTACTTCAAAATCATAAATAATAATTAAATAAAAGATTTATAAACAAAATGATATATGAACGCATTAAAAATGCGTTTATATCCAGATATTGTTTATAAATCTTAAACCACTTGATTGATGTTTTCAAAAAACTTATAAAACGTATAAAATTTAATAATCTACAACATTGTCTAATAACATAAGATGGTATATCAACTCAAAATACACCAAAATATCAATTAAATAAACATAATTTTAGTTGATTTGTGGATTTTGTCTAAAGAGGAATAATATGAGTTCATGATGAGTAAGTTAAAACAAAATGGTTTTAAAATGATAACATAAACTGTATTAAAGTACTTATTTACAATTCTGTGAGGATTTTACACAAATTAAAACATAACATACAATAAATTTTTAACGCTAACAAGAAGGGTTAATTACAAAAAATTAATGTTTAAACGACACATGATTATTGTCCTCGAACTGACTTTACATAATTAAGTAGCAATCGTGTGCCTTTGTTATATATATATATATATCTATATTTCTTTACCCTTCTTGTATATATAATTACCTAATATAAAATATTAAAAGTTTTCGTGCATATATTTTTACTTATGTGCACAGTAAAAATCACTTTATAAAATAATTTCAATTAAAATTAATATAAGTATATGTAACTCTATTAATAAACACAGAGAGCAGTAAAAGAAACAAACGAGTGCCTTTGTTTTTGAATCTTTGGCAAACCCTATTATCCCTCATTCTCATCAACTTACAACCAAGGTGGTCTCGGATTCATTGGATCATAAGTCTGTCTCATGCCCAAGGCCGCATGGTATCGCGGTGATGCATACGCAGCAGCTGGGTTCGATATCAAACCCTGGTTGAGCATCATCTGAGCATTTGTCTGTTGTCGTAGGAGATCTTGGCTTTGGAGGTACTGCTGATAAATTGGGGCCGACGAATCCACCAAATGGCTTCCTGAAGGGGTTCCTATGTAGGGGTAGTCTCCTGTTCGTGCAGCAGGGCTGCTCAAGTACTGGAATTGGCTTACAGATGGATTTACAGGTTTGTCTTGGTCCGAAGAAGAACTCCGGTGCGGTAGATAATAAGGATTACTGTTATCCAAATAACTTTCATTCGTGTTGTATAAACCGGGGGTTAGGTTCAAACCCGGCTGTCCTGGTCCGAAATTAAACGCAGAGCCTAAAGGATTCTTGGTTTGTTTCATACCATCAGGCTTTACAACGCCTGTACCAGTTTTGACACTGGCGTAAGTCTGGAAACCTTGTTGCTGTGTTGACACTAAATCCCCTGGTTCGCCAGACACTGCCGTCTTCTTTTTACTCGATTTTCTCTTGGTCTCGGTTTGTACAACTGGTTTAGCATTGTCACTGATCACAGAACACTGACTGTTCATCGCTTGTTGTCTATTATAAGCCATGGACATGGTTTGAGAATGCTGCAACATTGTTTGCATCGTGGACATGGTTGCCGCATGCGCGTTCTGTGGTTGTAACTGTTGCGTAGCTTTTGATGCTTCATAGTAATTCGGTGAAGAGTTTTCCATGAAATGTCTTATACCTTGAGGCATATTCGTCAATTTTCTTAACGACGGATCTAGCATATTCGGTGAATTTGCGGAGAACTTGTAGTTTTGGTTGGCTAAGCTGTTATTAGTGTTGTGAAGGTCGTAAGTCCTTGCATGCATTGGAGGCTGATTTAAAGGTAAACCGATATGGGCATTTGGTGGCACCCTATTGTCCATGTTTGGAATCGAGTTAAGTAAATGTATGTTAGTATTGCACTGAGGAATATTCAAGTTTATGCCAGGAATATTTAAATTTCTTGAGGAATAACTCATAAAATCATTTGTCGGCATTTGTAATTTTGTGTCCGGTGCACTGTTCAGTACCACTGCTGACTTTCTTGTCGGCTCGCTTATCTCCAAACCAGGTCTAGGCAAAGCTTTACCATATGCTTCAGGAAATACGGGTTGAACCTTGTGCAAGTTCTCTACAACTTTATTTGTTGCTTGCAAATGCTTTTGTTTATAATTTATCGCTTCCATGTCATCTTGTTTAGGCAATGTCTTCTGATTCTGAACGTTTGCATAATTCATATTCAAAACTTCTGCAGGTCTTTCCGGTATATTCTGCGGTGGATAATTTGTCGAAGGGATGATAGAATGAGGAAAGCCCATATTGGTCGGCATATCGAATAAATATGTAGGTTTGTTGGTTAGAGGTTTGCTAAAGTTTTTGGTAAACTCATCACCAGTTCTGCTTTTTAGATTATCATCAAAATCGATCTTTTTGGCTTTGTCGAGAGCAAACGGTTGTTGTTTGTCGTCTCTAAAAATCGTTGGCTTGTCCTCGATGCTCTGCGGGGGTTTGTCGTCTGGTTTTGAATAACCCATGTTGATCAATTCACCTGACGGCGAACTTTGCATCAGAACAGATGTTTTACTGACGTTTTCCACATCACTTGCCGGAGTTTCTTTCTGCTTTACCTCCTGGGTGATTCCTATCTTGGTATTATTTGTGGGACTCAACTTCCCATCGTTAAATCCTCGTTTCTTCATCGGATACGAGCTAGGAGCCGGCGCTTGTTGGTTCGGGTTTGGACTCGAAGTCTGTTGGGAATAGGGCGAGTTGGGTTGTGGAGTCCCGTAAGGTGAACTCAAATCACTATTAGAATACGGAGAACTCTGACTGGAATAACTGAACGGACTATTAGGTCCCAACATAACTTGCTGGTTATTCGGCATGTGTTTATTATAAGGACCTCCGCTCTGTGGTCCGTATGGAGAATTGGGTTGACCAAAAGACTTGGTACTGCTATTGTTCGGACTTAAAGACACGTAGTCCGCATTATTTTCAGGAACCATACTCGAAGCTTTGTAATCGTAATAAGGCAAAGACTCACGATCATAATTCATTAAACCAGAATACGGATTTGTAAAGCTTTGCAAAGGGTTCGGTGAATTTTGCGATGGGTACAGATGTGATGCAGACGTCGGCAAGGTTCCTTGGGGTCTATTTGGCTCTTGCGGACTGCAACTTTTCTCAGGACTACTTTTAGTCATGTCTTGGTAAAATCCGACATTTATACTTTTCTGCACGTCCTCGGTTTTCGGTGAAGGTTTTTGTGGCGCTGCAGTTATTTTCGGAGACGGGTACGACAGTGGGTACGTGGAAGACATGCGTTCGTCTATTCCGGTCCGAGGTGAATCCATATCTTGACTGAAGTTACTATGATCAGACACTGTACTTCCGGTACTAGTTCTTCTGGTTCTGGGTGTTCTATTTGATTCGGGGCTTTCAGCTGAGGTTATAGGACAATCTGGTTCGACTTCAACTGCTTTAACTACAACAGGTTTCTCTTGTTGCGGTGGCGGCGGAAGGACTGTACTAGGTTCAGGTACTACAGGCGTAGGTGCCGGTTGAGATTCTTCTGGTTCCTCAGTTTTCTTTTTAGGACCTTTAGGAGCTCCAAACGCCTTAAACCAAGCACTCAAATTCGGCGTTGCCTTTTCTTGGCAAGCTTTGAAAGGGCGTTCAAAAATTTCATCCTCCTCCGACGACCTTAGTGATGTAATTTCGTTCACTTGTGTATTGTCTTCTTTCTCACTTTTTTCTGACTTTTCAGGTGAAGTTTTCTTTTGCTTGCGCCCTTCGTCATTGAAATTGTGTTGCTGGACTAATCCAAAACCTTCTGTTGGAAGCACAGTCCCCAAACTGAGCTTGGGACAAGTATCAGAGACTTCCTGCAAAGATTCCTCTTTGGTCTCTTTTGTTTTCAAGGTCGGAGATGTTGATTCCACCACTGGCACTTTTGTTACCGGTTGTGCACTGACGGTGTTTATCAAATTTCCTTTAGTTTTACCAGGCTGCAGCCTGTCTATTGTCCGTTGCATCTCACGTTTTTTATTAAAAAGTTGCTTCAAAGAATCCCTCAAAAACTTACGTTTCACAACATCTTTACCATCTTTCTTAACACAACTCTTATCCACAGTTTTGACATCCTTGTCAGGCTTCTTGAAGCCTGGTACAGTATCAGCGGGATTCGTTTTTGTTTTTGTTTTATCTTGTGATGTGTTTTGAATCTCACTTTCTGTAAACCACTTGTCCATATCTTTCAGCGTCTGCTCGGTCTCGGCGTCCAAAGCATCCATTGATGTATCATTATTAGGGACCTTCTTCTTAGTTTTGGAATTTGTTTTTTTGTTATTGCTACTTTTCTTACTGACTGAATCATCAACAAATTCATACTCATCATTTGGTGGAGTCTCTTCGACCTTCTTGTCTTTCGGTTTGCCAAAGATTTCATCAAAACGCATAGAATTCTCTTTACTTTTCTTATTCTTTGCACGCAATTTTTCTATAGTGTCACTCAACATTAAGTTCTTTTCTTTAGCACTCAAATTTTTCTTTTTGTCTTTTTCACTTTTGTCATTAAGCACTGAATTTTTATCACTATGCACTGTTTTTGATTTATTTGGTGTATTCGATTTGTCTTTATCCATACCAATCATTTTATCGAATTTGTCTTCTGTGTCCATAGAAGAGTCTTTCCACTTATGCTTGGGATGCTTGTTAATACTTTCTTTATTATTGTCTTTGTTGTCTTTATAGTCTATTTTAAACTTTTCACTATCTGATTCTTCTGAGTATGAAAGCAAAGGAGAAGGACTTCTACTCCTACTGCTTATGCCATCTTCACTGTCCACATCAGCAATTTTTTCTTTAATACTTGCTGTTTTCTTCTCTTTTGGTTTAGACTCATCTGAATTCTTGCTGTGTTTCTTCTTATTTTTATTTTTCTTCTTACTAGGTCGTCCAACGCCTCTTGTTTTATTCTTCTTGGACTTTTTGCTAGATTTAGGAGTCTTCTCTTCTGGCAGAACACTTTTCTCCTTTTTAGACTTGCTTTTTGGTGGTGATGGTTCTTCTTTGATATGTTTTTCTTCAATATCACTTTCTTTTTCATCGAAACTTTCATATTTAGGCTTTGACACATCACTTTTAACACGCTTCAGCTTCTTATTTTTCTTCTTTAATTTGGAGGAATGTTTCACTTCCTTTGTTTCTTTCACAATCTTCTTTTTCTTGCTCTTTGGAGAATCATCAGGAGAGCCTTTAAACAAAAACAAAACAAACATGTACAAAATTTATGTTGAACTACTTTGTATCATATACTATATTAAATAAATCTTACGTTTTCGTTTTTTGGACGTTGGTGAAGCCACCTCTATCTTCGATGGCTTTGATGAGGTCTTGCTGCTGACTTTAGCAGGCTTTTCTTTTGCAGCATTTTCCTTAAGTTTTGGTCGTCCTCGTGTCGGCGCTGGAGGTATAGGTATTATAGGAAAATCTGTTTCCTCGTCTGAAGATGATTGATCTAAAAATCTATTTGTAGCCTTGACAAATGCTTGCTGCAGATTATCAACCATCTCTGTATACTCTGAAACAAGTATTATATGCCTATTTAACACCTGAGTGAATAACAATTATGATGTGAATGATATTTTATATTGAAATAGTTACCATTATCTTGCCCATTGTACAATTTACAATTGTTTACAAGAAGTTGAAAGTCCGCTTTGAATTCTGAAAACTTTGAGTATTTTCCAGCATCCAATTTATCCTCCATACGCTGCAGATCCATAGGTCTGCAAAAAATTAAAATTTTTGGTAAATAATAACAAATAACAATTATAATTGATTTTCTAGGATAAAATATCTTACCTGCGTATAATTGTATAATAATTTGGTGCATACTCTTCTTCTACAGGATCAATAAAAGGCCAAGCATCATCATGACTCTTGAGATGTTCCAATATTTTATACATTCCCGTTTGCAAGTCTTCATCGGTTTGGCAGTATCTGTGTAAATGGGCAGAACTAAGAAATTTGTATTAAAAAACTTGTAAAATAAATTTGAAACATATTTATATTCATATATTATTAAAATAAGGTGTTTGTCTTACATATCCTTGTCCACTGTTTGGACAACTGCAGCTCGATTTTTGTTCGATTGAATGAGTATTTGTCCCGTGGCTGAAGCAAGAGAGTTGTTAGTCTGACGACCAGTTGTTATTTTATTCTTTGAGGAAGACATTTTTAAGCTGGAAATAACGATAAATAAGTAAAAACGAATTCTAAAGGAATAACTGCAGGCTTATTATAAAATTAATATGTACCAGTTTTTTCTTCTATTATCAATAATATTATTATAAACTATTTGTTCACAATCACTCTCTGTATTGGATATTCTTCTAGGCTTAGAGCTGAGTGCTCTGTAAAATAAAAAAATGTAGACAGGTTATTAACACTTCATTCACTTAATATTTCTATTAGGTATATTATTTTTACCTTGTTCTTTGTAAATTCTCTTTGAGTTTGAACCACTTTGGAAGTTCTGGCAAAAATTGTTCGACCAATATATTATATAGCAAAACATCAGAATTATGTTTAGAATCCTCAAATTTTTGTACCAGATTCACCCAATCCTTTTCTGTGAAGCACACCACTTGCCAAATACTGTTTACCGTTGATTCTACAAAAAAATAAAATGAAATTTTAAACAAATGTTAAACATACACAAAAATCAGTTTATTACGTGATTTCTGTTTTTTTGGCTTCGATTTTGGATGGTCCTCTCTGTACAGACGAGTTCCATAAAAATACCAATATGACGAGCCATTTTTGTCATATCTACAAATTCAACAAATATTAATAATACACTAGTCTTGTAACTTTTAAAAATATCTTTAATTACCCTAGTGGATCCACTCTTAATTTATCAGGGTTTATATGTTTAATCAAGTCCAAAACGTCTTCTGCCTCAAGACGAAAATCACACAATGCATGCAGTGCTTCAACCTTGCTTCTCAGCGGTAGAAACTTAAAATCTATATCTGAGTTAAAAGGGTTGTGTCGATTTTGTTCTTCACATTTGGTTCTGAAGAGTCTTCTCAAGTACATTTGATAATTGTGGGTAGAAATATCTTCTGTGGGTAAACAGCCATTAAGCAACTTGGCGATAAGTACGGGGAGTAATTGATCTGGTCCATCTTCTTCAGAATCATCCAGAAGACTTAATTCTAAATCCTGAGAAACAAATTTATGGAATGAATGAATTATTTATATTATATGGGCAATCATATATTTTCCTTAAGTGCAGCTATGATGTAAGAAATGACTGGATCTGAATTGAAAAACTAAATGTAAACAAATATATAAAAGACACAATCTATTCTTTTTTTAACCAGTCACTTCTTATAACGATTCTGTCTAAATAAATAAATGTAATTTAGCATAATCACCTCAATATCAAATTCAAGTAGATCAAATACTTGTCGAAAAAGAAAACAAAAGTGTGCAATGCTTGGAACCTCCCACCATGATTGAATATCTGTGTTAAGCAATTTTAAATTTTAAAATATCTCTAATTAAGTTTAAACATATTAGTAATTAAGGCAAAGTATTTCACAATGATTTGAAAAAAGCGCATGCTAAATGGAACATAAATTAGGCTCGTATATAGTTTTGAAGACTTAAATGCAATAACTTAGAAAATATTTTAGTAAGCTGATGTGAGATAAATTCATTAATATTTTATTCAATTTTGATTCGTGCAATATTGATGTTTCTAAGTTGACTGAAAGTTATGCATGAGTCTATAAAAATATACTAAAAAGCCTGCAGTGCAACCAAAAACCTGATGAGAATTTTCTTAAACAACTAAAATTTACACACCTAATATGCCAATGAAGGTTGGAAACATAACCTAAAGACACAAAACCAATTTTTCCTTACTATTAATTACTACAAAATTGTTTTCTTCAAAATATACGTATTTTTAAGGACACATCAATTACATTTTTGGATAAAATACGTATTTATTCTACAACTCCTAACAAACATCGCCATTTCATTCAATTGATCGTATGATTTGACGTTAATGCTTATTTAGATAAACATTTTACACGAACACATATATAAACAAATTATGTACACTTCACATAAAACGGATCGATAATATTTTATATATTATTTTACCTACATTATTTTAATTTCTTATTACATGCCTGTAGGCATTAATGATTTAATGAAGTGTATAACCAAATACGAATCGACCCACACTGAGGTGTTAACAAACATTAAACATTTTTCGCTCACATATTCACAATAAACACTTATTTTTAAAGAACTTTTGATTGTATAAAACGCATTTTAAATATACATCCATCGATTGTGGTCTTCTTTCATTTTATTTCAAAGCGATTTTTTAAAATAATGCCTCATACAAACATATTGTGGTTCATTTGACAGTTTTTACACAAAATTCGGCAGACGCCAGAATGCACTAACGTGAAGCTTGTACGAGTATTAAAACATGGCGTTGATATTTATCACTTTCGCGGAAAATTCAAAAAAACAAATATCTATTACCAGCGTTCACAAATTTTTTAAAAAAATTTACCTTAAATTAAAATTATATATTCCAAATTATTTCTCCTAAATTATTATTTATTCTATTTTTAAATATAAAATCCCATTCTGTCTGATTTAGTTCAATAAAATTCAATTTGGATCGATGATAAATGTTTATTAAGTCATTTCTGAAAATATACATGTTTTACATGCATTATTACTAACAAAGCTTTCAATAATCTACTAGATAGTGAAAATATATAATTGTAGTGCGTAACATGCCTTATAAATATTTCAATGATCATTAATATATAAATAAACCTATCTCAAACATAATAAGTAGAAATCTTATATAATTATTAATGTATCTTTAAATTATTTTGTCACTTCGTGCATAGCTTTGGCTAAATAAGCTACAGTTTTAGATGTGATACCAGCCACTGATATTCTACCATCTTTGGTTAAATATACATGGAAGTCTTTTGTTATTCTTGCAACCTAAAAACAGATTTTTATCATATTGATTAAACTTATACATATAATAAAATTTCGTAGAATAATTTTATGAACCTGTTGTTCAGTCATGCCAGTAAAGCAGAACATTCCAATTTGATCAGTAATATGGTTCCAATTTCTAATAGAACCTTCTTTGGCTAAATTGTCTTTCAATTGCGTTCGCATTGAAATAATTCTGTCAGCCATTCCTTTAACATCCCCCAACCTAAAGAAACATATATAAATTAAGATAATAATAATATGTTCAAGTTATTTTTGTGTGATATAAACTTTACCATGTTTTATACAATTCAGGTGTTGAAAGAATTTCATGAGCAATTCTTGCTCCATTGATTGGTGGATTTGAATACAATGGTCGTATTAAAATCTTCAATTGTGACATTATTTTGTCACCTTCCTCCTTTGAGCTTGCTATCATGGTAAATGCTCCAACACGCTCCCCATACAAACCTTTTCAAAAATGTATTTTATAATTTTCAAAATGTATTTTATAGTTTCAATATATTTAATTGTTCTAAAACCAATAAACCTACCCATGTTCTTGGCAAAACTCTGAGACAAACACAATTGTAATCCCTCTTCTAAGAACATTCTTACAGCGAAAGCATCTCTGTTAATGTCTCCACTGGCAAATCCTTGATAAGCCATATCGAAAAATGGGAATAATTGGCGTTTTTTGCATACTGCTGCTATTTCTTTCCATTGTTCTGGTTTAGGGTCTACACCAGTAGGATTATGAGCACAGGCATGCAGTAAAATTATCGACTTTTCAGGAATTTTCTAAAAAGAAAAGCAAATTTTTAATCTACAATAGAAGAAAGTTTAAATTCAAATAATATAAAATTTATCTAATAACTCCAAACTTAAAAGTCAAAGATATTATGAAATTTTTAAAATGAAGAAACAATATTTTTGTAGATAAAAGTTATTACACAACAATATTTTATTAGGTAATCGTCAATAACTGCTTGGTAACTAGTTTTGAGATATAAAATTTTGTTTTGATAAAAACAATTTGCATAACTCATAAAAAACATGAATCGGTGACTACAGATGGTCACAGTATTGTATTATCAATAGTCTTATGGTTATAAATAAGATTAGAACAGTGACCTTTGCAAATTCAGATTACTGACTTGTGATATGATTGTTTTATGTGTTGCTAATGCATTATGATAAATAACAAGTTATCTAGTACAGAATATAATTACTGACATTAATATCATCCATGGCTCCACTAAAATCCATGCCACAAGTCTTAGGATCGTAATACTTGTATCTTTTAATAGTCAATCCCCTGTCTGTGAACAAAGGTATATGATTTCCCCAAGTCGGTGTGGGCACCCAAATTTCCTTGACGCCTGGAAAATGTCTAGATAGAAATGCTGCTCCTATTGTTAAAGAGCCTGTTCCAGAAATTCCTTGGACGGTTACTGCTCGTCCTTCTTTGATAAAAGAATTGTCAGCACCGAGAGCTAATTTTATTGATTCCTTGCAAAAATCAGGATTTCCACCTATTGGATCATATTCTTTGTTGTAGTTCTTTTTGGAAATCACCTCCATTGCCTGAGAAAAAAATGAATATAATCTTTCATAATAAACTCAAACTACTTAAGTGTCTACATACCTTCAACACACTCGGTAGAACAAAAGGTTTATTATTATCATCCCGATATGCTCCAACACCCAAATTCATTTTATTTGGATCCTGGTCTCGCTTAAAGGCTTCAGTAACACCCAAGATTGGGTCAGGAGGACCCATTTGAACATTAGTCCACCATGAACTATAAAAATAAAAACACAAATAAACACATTGTATTTGTTATCACTAAATGCTATAACTTACTTTGCTCTTGATGAAACTACACTAGTAAAATATTGATTACTTTTAAACAAGTTTGCAGATAAACTATACACCTTCATTGTTTGTGTCATTTTGAATGAATAATGGAAAATGTTAGGAGTGAGGTTAACTCACAAATAATCACAATTTTTTTTAATGGGATAAATAAAAATACATTACAAGTCACGCGAGTCTTATCGTTTAAAACTGATGATAAGAAGTTGTATGAACCGAAAGCAATTACAGACTGAATTCTAAATGTAAAGTGAATTTGCTGCCGATGCAAATTGGTCTGTAAGATTTGTGAACTGGAATTAACTAGATCATGTGATAAACTTTGAACTGCATTTACTCACAAAATAAAAAAACAACTGTATTTAGGTATATAAGATAGTTTAAATATGGAAAAAGCGACGAGACATTTCGAATGTCTTTAGTTTTACAGACTGTAACTTTCAAATGACCTCAAAAGAAATTCGCAAGAAATAAAATAAAAATACTTTTATGATATAACTAAAAATATTAACAGTTAACTATTGTAATTTTACGCAATTGAATAAACATTTCATTCACTTTAATACAAATACAGACATTATAACTTTTATTGTCACTTTAAAAAATACCGCTCTAACGTCTTAAACAAACAATCAATATTTGCTTTATGACAATCGCTAAAATAACTTGTTATGATAAATATTTACCAAGTTCGTCATTGTTTCTTAATTTATTTACAAAATATACGTACTGTAATATAATAGGACTTCGTTTCTTTACTACATGAAGCATTTATCCAGATAATTTAATTAGTCTACGACAGGACGAGGGAAATTTGAAATTGATTGGTGGAAGGATTCAAATGTCACATTTATATTTTTGAAACAAAATATTTTATTGCAATTACTTTTTTGTTGATATTTTAAATATGATTTTTAATACTTAATATTACGACCAGAATATTTGTTATAACTTGTCGTAATATATATTTGTTATAACAATAATGATGATGTTGTTTATGATATATTTTCATTCAGATTTTATCACTTTTTGACGCTATCAAATGCAATGACTGACAAATCTAATTTTTATTTTGTGTTTAAAAAGATTTAGATAATCATTGACGTAATCAATATAAAAAAAAAACATATTCTATACTTGCATATATCAATATTTGTATGTATTATCAAATTAGAAATATATCAGTCTTAGTAAAAATTAATCTCATCAATCAAAAAAAAAAAAATGATATTCTACACATAATGCAACTTAAAAACATTTTGATATATATATATATATATATATATATATACAATTGAAATAAATTTGTTTGATGATCATTTATTACTGTATAAATTTATATAATGTATTCATTTTAATGCAAATTATAAAAAAAACCCATAATGATATCTAAAATGAGCACGTTTTTTATGAAAGTTATACCTACAACTATATACACCGATATACTTAAATATATATTTTGCTTGTATAATTGTTAATTATGATTTATAGTAAAAGATTTATATGATTTTTGAAGATATAAACTTTAATGAATTAACTACACTATTTTTAACGTACTTGTATCCAGATTGGGTTTAAAATTTTGTAAAACATTTGTTTGAAAGATCAGAAATGTAATTTCTTGAAGAAAGTGGGTTCTTATAGGATTTTTATAGGCATTGGCAACGGAATTGGATTCTTATAGGAATCCTTTTAGAGATTGGATTCATATAGGAATTCGATTTTAGAAATTATAAATACTTTTTATAATATTCAAATAAACCTAATGGCGAGTGCTGCCAACTTCAAGTTAAACAAGAAATATTTTTATAAACAAAATTAGAACAAATAAAAAATTACCTACTTGTGAATTTAATAAGGTAGATATATCATTTAATTATTCAATAAAGTGGTGACTAAAAATAATACATAAATTAAAATAATTAATAATAATATATTTTTGTATAAAGCACTTGCTTTGTAAAATTTAATTTAAAACACTTTCACAAATCACTTTGATTTTAAATGCAAACAAAGTCTATTTATACTTGTTACAATTAAATTATTAAATTAATATTTTTGGTTTAATACTGTATTAAATGTAATTAAACAATTAATATTAGTTTTTTTAATTAAAAGGAAAACTGAAACGTGAACATTGCTAACTTCGTGTCAAACATGAAACAATAAATTACAAAATGTCGGGCGGTTGCCATTTTGTTAATTGAACGGTTGATAAATAAATAATAATTATATTATATATATATGCGTGTAATAACGTTTATTCCATAAACATTTTCCACGCATCTCAAAATGTTTAAAAAAAAGACTTAAAAAAGTGATTTGATTACTGCAGTGGAATTCCATCAATTAAAGCCGAACTCGTTTTATATATACACATATACAAATTTACAAATGTCCAATGTGCGCATGTATATATAAATATATATTATTAATCAACAGATACATCTAAAACTCACCTGTTGAGATTTCAATACTCCAATATGAAGTTTAGTGTACGATCAGACGTGGGATTGGTAACAAGTGGTTATTTTGTTCTTTGTATAGAAAAAAGGTATGTTAAAATTATTTTTTTAAGTTATTTATTATATTAAAGTGTTGCAAATACGTTAATATATTATATGGATATAATTTAGACAATAAATTAATTGTCTAAACTATATTTAATTATTGATACTATTTGCATTTGTTAACCAACTGATGGTTGTTGATTTGATGATATGGTTTGGAGTAAATATTATATTATTAATTATTATTAGTAGTATATAACTACATAACCATTAACTTAAAAACGAAAACTCTTAAGCAGATGAAAGAATTTGATTTTTTTTTCATCTGAATAATTAAATAATAAATATTAAATAAATATAAATTTTATTTTACTTAGCTCTTTAAAAATCGTTAGAAATGTTCTACTTTTCCTATTTCAATTTATGATTATAACGCGTTTAAATATTTTCAGTTTCAATTAAAATTTTAAAGTATATCGAGTTGCCCAAGAGCATTATAATGTTAGACAAAATTGTGTAATATTATATTTTGTACAAATTTTCCAAATATCTCATTTATATTAATCAAATGGTTTAATATCTGCATAGGATATAAAAACTAAGTGCACTTTTAATGGATCCAGATATTTTTTCAAAATTTAATTGCGATTTTTAAGTATTCCGAGTTGCTCTAGAATTTTGTGTTGATAGAGAAAATTAAATATTATTTAATTTTGTACAAGAACTATAAGTATTTGATAAATATTAGACTAATGGATTAAAAGTTATAAGAGATTTGCTACATAAATTGCATTCCAATTTGGAATTAAAGTTCTCTAAGTTTTGTTACTATTTTGAAGTATACTTAGTTGCTGTTTAAATTTTCTAAACATTATTTTCTATTTTCTAATTTTCTAAACATTTTATTACTACCATTATGGTATAATTTTAGATAAACGGTTCAAAATTATGAGATAAATAAATTAAATTGTTATAAATGTGTTGTATAACTCTATGCCATACTTTATCAATACAAATTAATACAAATTTACACAATTCAAATATTAACTACAAATTACTACAAATTAATATATTATTAATAATATTAACTACAAATTAATCAGTGCAGTAATAAAGAATTAAAAATTAATTAATAATCAATACAATCACTTACTCTTGATAAAACATTAAAGTACGATGACTTTTATACCCGATATCAAGATATATATCGTTTATATTAATAGATTTTTATATTTTGATATAAAATATGTGTCACTGTTTCACAGATTTTAATATTTCATTAATATTTTTTTTATACACACCCATTATCTAATCTTGCCCGTAAAAAATGATACAAATATTCTATTATCAATTTAAATTTTGATATTGAGATATTAGTTGTATTGGTCAAAGTATTTAATATAATTATTCGAAAGTTACAAGATGTATAATAAATAAAAATGAATAAATGATAAATTTTCCTGATTTCTATTACCATTTTTTTTAATGAAATACGTTGCTGTAAGTCTTTATAATATTAAACAAAATTGTAAATTTTATACAATCTTGTACAAATCTTATGGTAATATTTTTTTTCTTATTTTGAATTCAACTAAATAAATATATAAGTAAGTTGTTGATTCGCAAGGAGTAAGGAGACTTAGTCCAGTGGTTTCCAACATTTTCGTATTGCCCTTTAACAATCTATTTTTATAAATACTCAACTGATATTATAATTCATTTATCAGGCTACAAATTAATATAAATATATTTATATATTATATATTTAGTTATTAATTTTTTTTAATTATTAAATTAATTATTAAAATTAATTAATAAATATATTTATATATTATTATATTTATATATAATTATAATTATGCCGAAATATACATAAAAATAATTATTTATTTTTCGGAAATAGTATTTTGAAAGCAACAGTACCTTCCATGCCCCACGGATCTTAGATTTTCAATTTCGATTTTAAAGAATACCAAGTTGCTCTAAGACATTTATATGTTAGACAATGTTACAGATTTTTAAATTTTGTATCAATTTGTCAAACATTATATGTATTTTAACAGAAACATTTAAAAGATACAAAACAACAAAAATAAATTGATACTTAAGTGTGGACGAAATTTAGTTTAGGTAATATAATATTTAACAATATTATAGATTGTCTAATATTCTACAAAGAGACAAACGATTTGAATGTTGCCAATTTAGTTTATATACCTATATATATTTATGTGTGAATTCTTTCTTATTTGATCTCAATAAAATGTCGAGAAACTTGATATAATTACTACAAACCAATTATAGTACTTTCATAAAAGAAACTGTAGTAACATTTATAACAGTAACACTAATAATATTTTACTTCTATAAAAATATGTTTACAGTTACTCTGCTGTCATGCATCGAAACGCACCGAAAAAACGGTTTGTTTATATACTTTGATTATAAATAATAAATAAAAGAAAATAAATATAAGAAAAAACAAATTATTAATCCATCAGGATTCAGAAATAATGCTATTAACTTCTAAAAAATTAAAACAAATGTTAGATTTATTTATATTATTATAATTAACATCTAATTTTTCAATTTGTTATATCTCTTCTATCTGTTATACCGTTTTCAAATACAATATTATAACCATTTTTATAGAATTAAATAATCTACAACATTGTCTTCTAACAAAATATCCTAGAACATTTCTAAATATTATTTTCCATGATTTTATGTAATTCCCAACGAATCATTTTATTATTTTTTGTTATAAATATATGTTAATTTGAAACACACGCGTTAACATAAATCAGCAGATAATCGCTTAAAGTACAAAGTATATATATATATATATATATATATATATATAAATATTGTATATATATATATATATATAAATATTGTGATGCTAAAAAGATATCGATCTGGCATGGGTATTAAATCGAAACAACAAATTGAGATAAAATACTGGGTTGTTATCAAAGGATTTATAAACTTGTGTTCATTATATATATATATATATATATATATATATATATATATATATAATTTTTCACACTAAGAACACTTTTTTCTAAAAAAATCATTTTTTCATTTATAATTATTTCAAAGTTTCGCAAAGACGAAATATCTCTTTTAGAAGTACCATTTTTAGAAATGTTAAAATTGAATGAATTCCACTTTAACTTTAAAAGCTTGAAATTGAAAAAATACTCAATAAAAATTTAATTATACTATCACTATAAAATTATAATTGATAATACTTTAAGATGTGTATGGTTTAAATTTAACGACTAGAAATTCCAAATTAGGTAGATTATTCGTAAAATAAAAGTTAAACTGTTTGTAAAATTTATGGAAAAATGTTTGTATTTTTTATGCCTATTCTTGAATTTTTGTTTACTTAAACTATCCAGAAAAGCATAATTATAAAATGTTATTCATTCATACATACAATTATTGAATAAAGCTAAATGTTTAAAAATTTATTTAATCCTTGAATCTTTCAATGCATATTAGAAATATGTTCAGAAATTATAATTCAAATAAAAAGCACGATAACGAATATTAATATAAAATTGTTGAATATAATTATATTTCTAAAACTAAAAATATTAAAAGGAAAACCATAATTAAAGCAAAAAAAAAGAAACACGTATTGACCAGAAAGTCATGTCAATAGTCAAGTCAGAGAAAAGGGATTATTATTTTGATCTCAATAGTAAATTTAAATTATATTTTAATATGTTTTTTTATAAATAAATCTCTATTATTTGTTGGTTCTTATATATTTTTTTTATCTTTGCTTCAAAAATGAGTCAACCAAACAGCATCTTTCTTTGATTTGTGCTGAGGTAAAAGAAAAACATTCATAAAGTTCAGTATTTCAATTTTAATTATTCATGAAACAAAACTCAATCTGTACCTTAATTTCTTAATAGTCTCGTGATCTAATAATACTGGCTCTAGTATAACTCGAGTCATATCAGAATTTGTTGTAAAAATAATTAATCACTTCTCCATATACATCGTTCCCTCATATATCATTTCATTGCCTCCTTTCTGTTATTAAATATGCATTTGCATGCTTAATTCAAAGTATTTTAACATCTACCTTGAACTTCCAATTAAGAATGCATATCTTCGAATTAAATTTAAATTATAATGAATACAAACATTGTGTATTTAAATAATTCTATAATTTGGGAACTTGCTGATTAATATTTTGAAAAGTCATTGGACTCTATAATAATAGAATATATATATATATATATATATATAAATATATATATTACTTACATTACTTATTTATTTCTTTTACAGGTTGAACAAAAAAGTCAACAAACATGTCACTCGACGAGGTATGAATTTGCAATTTATAAGTTTATTTCTTTTGTCACAATTACACTAATATACTGATATACTTTAGGGTTAAAGATAATTATTATATTTGTGTAATTAAATATTCATGTAAATTAAAAATTTCGTGTAAATAAATATTTATGTAAATTAAAAATGATCAATTTGATCAAATTAGTAAAATACTTCATTTACACTAAATGAATGTTTGAAATCAATATATAATTTAGTATACTTAGTGTATCATTTTATTGATCAGATCAGATTCTAGTATCTGGAATTGTTTATGTGCAATAATAGACGCAATTGTTTTGTCAAAACCATTTTAGAACTCATTTAATATCTTGCATGCACATATTGTTTAATGAAATATTTTATTCTATCCATTCTATTGTCTAATTGGATTAATTTATATTATTTTAGCGCTTCAATGATGCTGCTGAACGTGTGAAGAAATTCACGAGCAGACCCACAGATCAAGAATTACTGGAATTATACGCTTTGTTTAAACAAGCCACAGTTGGAGACAATAACACTAGTTAGTAAAAGAAAATTTGACATATATTATTCCATTAAGATCATCGTTTGTTTCAAATTCAGCAATATTCATTCCACCTTATCTCATTGGTTATTGTATACATTCTAGTTTGAAATAAGCCATTGCGCCTTAAAAAATTTTTGTATCGTATCAGATGTAACAATTGTAATACTTGATACAATCAAGTAACAATTTTTTAAATCAATGCAGCGTTTTTTTAAAAACGACGACAAAAAGTCAAACTTTGTCTCACATACTCGCATAATTTTCCCAAGTTTCGTGTTAAACGATTCAGTATGACTTCAAAGACCAAGGGAAAGCATAGTATTAGCAAATCGAAAACAAACTTTTGCATTACAAAGTTAATAATTATATTTTCTTATATTTTTCCAGGTAAACCAGGTATGTTTGACCTGAAAGCCAAAGCCAAGTGGCAGTACTGGTCAGAGAAAAAAGGGATGAGTTCGGAGGCTGCCAAAGAAGCCTATGTTACATTAGTAACCGAATTGGAGCAGAAGTACAAATGATTCTAATTAAAGAAAATTAATAAATAGATTAAATATATTTTTGTATCATCACAAAATCGTAATATATAATTAATTAAAACTATTATTGTACTTTATCTATACTTCTGTTTTTTATAAACTAAATTTTACAAAAAAATATATAAAAATCGTTTTCTTCGGAAGAAACAAAGTTTCTTAGACCATTGCATAACCGTAGTTGCCATTTCTTTAATTATTGTTTTGATCAATTAATTGATCAGATCAGATTCTATAGAATCTGAAATATGTAATTGCAAACTTGAAGTAAAATTTACTATGAATATAGACTTGTAAAAGACATGATGAAGAATAGAATTCAGAATTTTGTATTATGAGTGAAACGAATCTTTAAATACATTTAAATTATTGTTTAGATCAATTCAGATTCTAAATATGTAATTGTAAACTTGAACTAAAATTAACTATGAATATCTTTTTGTAAAACACATGATGAAGAATATAAATCAGAATTTTGCATCATGAATGGAACGAATCTTAATTACATTTAAATTGCATAGTAATACTATTACTACACCTAAGCCTAACCTTTCAATTTACCCAGAAATATTTAGCAATGGAATCTTCAGTCAATATTAGGTTGTCAAATATCTCCCTTCCGCTTTTTTTATATATATTCACATATAAAAAAGCGGAAGGAAGATATTTGACAACCTAATATAGTAGTCACTAAAACAAACGTTTATGTAATCGAACAAAAACCAATAGCACCAATATCACCAAGATCAGATTGTCAAAGAGGAATTCAATCCTGAATATTAATGTTCAGTGTAAATAAATATACTATTTTTATAGATTGTATATGAAAATATGATTGCAGATATTAAATAAATAAATCACAAGATTGAATCAATGACAGTTTGATTCTTATAAGAAAGTCCTCATACAATAGAAAACATGATATTGGTTTCCAATTGGAATGCTCTGATTGGCCCGACCGGACGTCCTTAAACCAATAAGAATTAGGTTTTTTCCTTGTTCACTTAAAATTAATAACGACTAGTGGTGTATGGCATCGTGCTTTAAGACAAATTGCTGGAACTTCCCGTACCGAAGTTGTTATAAATTCTGTAATATCGTCTAATATTTAAAAGAATTATATAAACTGATTTGCAAAGTTTATATTATTCACTTAAACTATATATATATATATATATAAGTGAGCTTTAGAACTTCAACCAGAATTAAAATTGAAATCTCAATTATTTTCGAAAAAAATAATAATAAATAAAAAAGAAATGAAATGAAATTTTTTCCAAAAGCAATTATTTTGTCAACACAAACAGAAAGTTTTTTGAATCATTCAAATCGGATGCTTATTTCTCTTAAAAACTGCCATTTGTTTTACATTTAGATATCTTCTAAATGGCTGGACCTGCCTTTGCCAAAAACTAATCACCTTTTCTCCCAATCATTACAAATTGAATGTTTTTTAGATGATTCAAATCGGATGCTACGTTATCTTAAAAACTCGATTTCTATCTTCTGCACTCTTTGCTCCGTATCTCCGTAACGGCTAGACCTGCCTTTGCCAAAAACTAATTAGCACATCACCCTATCAATAGGAATCGAATGTTTTTTGAACCATTCAAATCGGTTGATCCGTGCGCCCGAAAACGTGGACGAAAAATGCGGACATACAAAACACACACACATCCATTTTTTCTTAGGTATGCCAAAATGTTCAGAAACCTTCAAAACGTGTAAAAATGCAAAAATTTACATTTTCGATTTTCGGCCCGTTACTATAACTACCCTACGGGAAGTTATAATAACGTAATACGTAATATAATATTCATGTGTATTTAATTTCAGCTGCATAAAATATTGTTACTTATCATATGAATAATATCCATCTAGCATAATTTGTTTCTACAATAACTATATAGTTGATGTGATTAATATATAAATAATCCCACATTGTGATTAATATATAAATAATCCCACACCATTCAATATAATCATTTCCAAAACAGTGTTCACAATATTCCAATTAAAATCTAATCCAAACATTATCGCGGAATGTTTAATAAAGCATTAACAGACACTACAAATAAGGGGCCTTTCGTTTGCAATCAACCTTAAATTGTTTGAACAAGACCTTGAGTAAGCACAAACTTAAGCAAAACATGTATCATTTATATCGGGGGTAGTCGCTTTATTAAATTTCTACCACCCGACGGGGCCCCCCACGCCCAACAAATCTCAAGGGTAATAATATAGTTTGTTACTTGTTGCTAATTACAAATATGAATACACAATGAGTGAATGAAGGGGCTCCAGGAGGAATATTTTGATTAGGTATTGTTCAAACATTGACACACACTAATATATATATATATATATATATATATATATATATATATATATATATATATATATATATTGCAAAATTTAGTTCCATTACCAGACCACTGTTAATCTAACAATGAATAAATATTGTTATTCACTTTCCAAAGATTCAATCAATTCCTCCCACGACTCGTTATAGATGCCAGCACTGCTTATATCAGAAATCTAGAAAATTATATTTATATTCAAATTTAAATTAATAAAAACAAATCGTGTTTTTTTTTTCAAAATTCGTGCTTTTTTCATATACTCAACAAACAGTTTTTAGTATATTATTAAGGGGGTCTTCTACCTTGTGGCCTCGTATTAGATACTGTTTTTAAAGAATGAATCGTAGGGAAACCAATAATAGAATCAAAGTGCGATTTTTTGCATTTTACTTGTTTCTTTCTACACTTTTAACTGAAATTTTACTGTCTCTCATTTAAATCTTGAACACGACTTTGACTCACAAAAAATGTATACCAAAATATTGAGAGTCCATAACCGCTGGACCTGCCTTCCCAAAATTTTTAATCAGTTCTTTATCTTGTCAATACAAGTAAAATGTTTTTTGAATTATTAAAATCGGACGCTCCCATCTCTTAAAAACGGAGTTACCGTTTTTGGCACTTTTTGTCCCGTATCTTCAGAACGGCTGGACCTGCCCTCGCTAAAAACTAATCAGCAGGTCTCCTTATCAATACGACTTAAATGTTTTTTGAATTATTTAAGTCGGTTGATCGGTGTTCCCAAAATCGTCGACGAAAATTTGTGTTCGCACACGGACACACATATTTATATACATATATATATACATACACATGCCGGGGCCATAAAGTACCCTTTTAATATTATATTTCTAGTACCTTTTAGGCCACAAACAGGCAAAAAATCTATTTTTTTTAACCAAGAAGGTAGAAGACCCTCTTAATTAATGGGCACAATTAACATTGTGCTCTCAAGAAATTAAAATTTTTATTTTCTTTGAAATTGAAATTAAAAAAGCTTGTAGTATATGGTGAATAATGAGATAGATCACTTATAACTTATTACCTGTTTGAAGCATACGCAATATAAGTCCAGATTTTCTTTGGAAATGTCTTCTGAATCACTAAGTTCTGATCTTTTAGAATGCTTCATGAAATTTGCAGCAGATTCCACATTGGCAGTTGATTCAAAAATCTAAACATAAATATTTAGATAAAATAAATATTTAGATAAATGAACTATTCTCATATTCAATCAATATATGTACACACACCTTTTATATATATATATATATATATATATATAAATTTTTCTAATCTTTATTTATGGCTTCTATGTATTATATTATGTATTATTGTAATTTTATTATTAAGCCCTTCTGAAGCTACTCCGTGAGTTATGTAATAAAATATATAATAAAGACATTATTAGAACTTTATAAACAAATGCTCACCTTGTAATTAAATAAGGTTTGTCCAATAAATCCATTTGCACAAATCTGTGTATCACAAGCTAATCCTTTTTTATCGTCCATCTTCCTGGATCTTAAGCAATGCTGGACATTGATCAAGAATCCGTACATGATCCTTGGTTCCTGATGTTCATGTAATTGCTAAGGCTCGTAACACATGAGAAAAAATTGATAGAAACTACCTATATAAAAATGTATAAAAATTAATTTTATTGATAATATAGATTTGACATAAAATGTAGCATCATTAAAAACTTTTCCCATCGAAGAACAAATCAATACCATAACTTTTTTTTTAAGTTTGGCATCATTAAAAATTTCCGCAACAAGCATATAATATAATAAACGTCGTCTAGGTAAGTTTTTCCTTCTTTTCCCTAGTTTTTCCTCGATTTTCCAGTTTTCCAACGTGCTCTCTCCACGAGACACATTTAATCAGAGTCAAAGAAAATGTTGTAGCATTTTTTTCTCGTTTGATCTTGTCAGACTTCTTTTTCCACAAGGAGTTTGATGAATATGGAGTTTTTGAAAAAGAGGATAAAAGTATATGCGATTAATATATGATGTTAGATATGAAACAGAATGATAGTGGTATGAAATATGAACTGAAATACAGGTTATGGAATATATTACCAAGAAATTCCCAATGAATGCTTTTTGTATTGATCGACTTAGAGATTTTTTGTTAATTTATATGTATATATATATATATATATATAATAGTAATCAGAATTTAATGAATTCTATGAGCTGTTGATCAGACTTCTTAAAAGAAGTGGGTTTTCAAAGGTGGCAAACCAAATAGATCTTCTATTCCAATGTGAAGAATTTATCATTATAGTTTTTGTAATCATGATAAATTCTTATTGATGCAGCAATGCCGCGAAAGGGCTATTCTCACTTGGAAACATGTTACCATCTATAATTTCAAGTGAAAAGATATGTCACTGTTGCTTGACATCAGGCTGCTCGAGGTTGGTATTGAACCAAAGTCCTCTAATTTGAAGTCTATAGCTCTAACCAACATCTAACCAACAGGTCACAGAAAGGCCCTTTTTAAATTTAAAGCACTTTACAAAAATTTGGAGAATGAGATGATATTTACCAATGGTAATGGTATTCTACTCTTGTCCATGATGGGTCAAACTTTAATTACCAATTCTAAGAGAGT